AATTAACTACCTAGAAAGTAGGCAAAGATAATGCAATGACTACTAACGTGAAAAACTGACTTCTAGTGTTGTGCTAACTCGTGTTCCTCCTATACATGGATTCTAGACTGACCCGTAAGGAACGGACTTGTGAGCATGACAGGATCTAGTTGTATCACCTAATCAAAAGTAATTACCTAAGTCCTCTAACTAAAGTAGATAGGGAAGTAGGGTCGAATCCACAGGGAAACAATGTTCTTTTATTCCTAATCAATAATTATAATCTAAATTATTAAGTAACCAAATTGTGTTTGTGTGAATTAAACTAATAATAAGCAAATAAAACTAAGAGAATAATCAATAATAAAAAGCTCTAGGGTATAGGTTCACCAATAAATAATACTTCAGGGTAAAACATACGATCAATTATCAATGTATAAGTTAACTAGATTATAAAGGGCTGTCGCTACGTATTATAATCACATAATTAATCTACTGGTATTAAATCTCATCTCTCGAATCTCGACCTAACCATTAATAGATTAACATGCCTGTTGAAACTAAGCCTAAATATCAATTCTCATCTTTCGAATCTCGAATCAATATTGCAAAACTCATACAATTAAACCTGCGCAAATCTAATTGCATAGTATTAAATCAATCAATAGGAAATTAATCAATCATAAATAATTAACAATAATAATTTACCCCTTTATATTATTCATGGATCCCCACAAACCCTAGATATAAAACTAGTCACACATAATTAAAAATAAAGTAGTCAAAACGGTTAAACAAAACATAATCAAAACCATAATAACAAGAAATTAAAGAGAGCAAAATATCATCAATCGTAAAAGAACTCTCGTTTTAAACAAATGTATCTCCTAGAAAATCAAGTAACATGTAAAACAATAATGTCAAAAGCATAAAAAACAAAAGTTTAACTAATGGAAAAACTTGATAAAAGCTAAACCCCAACTAAAGCCTAATACCTACGCAAGGATCAAGAAAAATCCTAATAAAACTAAAACTAAATAATAACAAAAATAAGCTGACCTCCCCGCCTACGGTACTGCTACCCCTTTTATATTCAAGCCCACCGACTTAACGAAAATCAAGTGGGCCTAAAACAATGAAACCCATTATAATGAATCTTGCGGCAACAAGCTCGCCCGGTTAGACCTTGTACCGCCCGATCGGGCCCGGTCAACAGAGCAGCGAACTGGGCGTCGTGCCTTCTTTAGTTTTGGGCCATTTCTTCTTTCTTTCCTACTTGGTCCGCGACACTTGTTTGGTCCATGATAATAATTAAACATTAAAACTTTGGACCTCTTCACTTAATCGAGCCCTTATTCACCAACTAAATTTATCTAGCTCAGTCTTGGGCTTCAAATATACGGTCATAAATTACGATCAAACTCCAATATCTTCGTAGTGGCACAATAAGCTCGGAAATTAACATAATTCTGCAAATTCCTACAAAATAATACCAACTCTACAAAAACACTGGAAAACGTATATTAGTAATAAAAATAGTTCCGTAGAGCTCAAATAAGCACAAATATAACCGTGGGACGGGGAATAAAAATATATATAAAATAAACTCATCACAGCAACGCACTCACTTCCTTCAAGATTGTCAGTTCCTTCGAGACTGAAGTTCCAATTTAGTTCCTTAGGCTTGTTCCAAACAATTTCTTTTATCCAACATACTTACATGACTCCTAGAAAAATGTACTCTTATTTTTCTATCTTCATGTTACTCTAATGAAGCTTCTACTCCAAATATTTTGTTCCTTCAAAAGAACTTCTCTTTGCTTGTTCCCACTCAAGAATTGCTGCTTATTCCTTGCAAAGAACTATTTCTCATTCTTCTTAGGAATTGCATACAAAGTCTAACAATACGTTTGCACATTTAGACTCCATCACTATGTGTTCCCTCTCAGGAACTCTTCTTTTCTTTGTGTACCTCCTGAGGAAATCAAGCACGATCCATACATTGTACGCTGGGAATCATCTTCAATAATGATCTAATCTGTTCTCAACAATCTTCATGCTTCATGACTTGTTCATGCACATCTCAATACACATATTAGTTAGATAATCATCATTTGTTCACAATCATCAAAACCTACAACAGATTGTTTCGGACAGATTGGGGTGGTTTGGGGTGGGTAGTTTCCTATGTTACTTGGACTCTTCACTTTATTTCACCTACCCGTATCGGACCCTCGACACTCGAACATGGGTATGACACTTGGACACTTCACTTTTTGTTCAAAATCATGGAATTTTTTCACAAAATAGCCGAGTCGGATGCTTAGACACGTATCCGTGTCAGACATGGGTACCCAACTCCAAGTAACATATGTAGTTTCAGGTGACAATAGGGTGTGTTCGGGTGGTTTTGAGTGTGGGTAGGGTTTTTTCGAGGTAAGTGTTAGGTTGTTTTGGGTTGGGGATTGTGATTTGGAGTGGGTGGGTAGTGTTGGGGCCTAAGGGGATGGTTTTAGATGTGTAGGGTAGGCGGTGATTGTTCGAGGGTAGTAGTGGTGGCAACTAGGCGACGGTGGGATTAACGATGGGGTGGTTCTTATGGCTTTAATGGTGGATTCACGTGGTAATGTTGTGCTAACTAAGGGTGAATTGGTAATTTTGTTATCAAGATTAAAAATTAGTCATTTTATAATTAAATTAGGTAAGAGGAGCATCCACTTGATAAGGCTAATTTACATTTTCGATAAATAAAATGACAAAGCTACCCTTAATCTATTTGGTGAAGGGACAAAACTACCCTAATTTTATTGAAATGACCGTAATATCCCCTGATTTACAATTTTTTGCACATTAGACTTATAAACTTTATTTTTCTCAATACAATAACAACAAATACAAATTGATTCTATATACAAATGAAAAGGGCCACCTATTTTAAAATATGGTAGAAATAATATCTTCTAAATATAATGTGAAATAATCAAAGGTCGCATTAAAGAATTTCTCAATATATTTTAAAGTTAATTCAAATATTTAGTAGAAGTACACTAGTTTGAACTAAGTTTTTCCTCAACCAAAAGAAGAAATTAGAAATTAATTTTATAAAGCCATTAGCAAGTTTAGGTTAGGCTGTATTAACATAGCACAAAGTGTTTGAGAAAGGTTTTTTTTTTTTTTTTTTTGACAACAAAAGATTCTATTAAAGAAAAACAATATTACAACCTAAACACAAACTAATACAAGAACACAAAACAACCTAAAAGACACACACTAAGTACCATTACAAGAAGAACAAAAAGAACAAAATACTGAAAAGGTCTTGTAGCAAACCAATAGCTGCGGAGCCCAGAGAACCAAAAAAACAAACCACATCCATATTGTGGACCAAGAGAAGCTGAATTAACTGAAACAATCAAGATGGACCAATAGTGCAGATCATAAACATTGAAGAGAACCCGAACTGGCATTGACAGCAAAGGAAAATCATGATGGAAATTGTTGGGAGACGGAAGAACCCGAAATATGCATCCTGTTGTTGAAGAACGGACCTTACCTTTGACACCATTCCACTCCTAGGGGTTGAAAAGCATATTTGCATCCTAGGATTCTGGGAACAAAACCTATAGAGTCATATACTTTAACAACTCTATGAGCGTGCATCCAAATGCAGGTTCTCTTCTTGCAACTCTACCAACAGAGAATGCAAGAAAATGGAGGACTTTGCTTAACCCAAACATTAAAAATGGGTAGCCTCTTTCAAGATATTGATTAACAGCGATGAATGACCTTGTCATCACCCAAACTAATAAAGGGATGATAGCAATTGCATGAATGCCCATATCATCCCACAACCTAACAACAAGACCTGCAAACCAAACTCTTTCCTCAAAACCACACTCCTCCTACAACCTGTGGGAAAACCATCCACCTGAGCAAATAACTCCATCCCCTAGAAAACTCTTTTAACTACCAGGGAAACACATTGAATTCACATCCTGACAAGGCTACTAGTAGGACCACCAACCCAACTAACAAGAGATTGCTTAATCTTACAACCCTTAAAACCAACCAACAAGGCTCAGAAGACCACGACAACACTTCGTTAATTTCGAAAACTAGAACTACTCTATGGAACTCTAACTCATGACCAAGTAGAGAAAGAGAATTATTTAAAAACAAAAACCCAATCAACAAAACAAGCAATTTATACAAGAACAACATAATTAAACTAAAGCAAACCAATAACAACAACTAAAAGATATCAAGCACACAAATAAGCAAGAGAACACAGGAAAAGGCAACAAGAACTGGATAAGACCTCACCGGCAGCAACCAAACCTAACATCAAGAACAATCGTCAACAGCAACGGAAAAAGAACCTCTCACCAAACTTAACCAATTTGAGAAAGTTGGTCTAAATGAAACTTCAATTTGATTAATAGGCAATGATAGCAAGGCATGAAAGAAATTTATCAAAAATAAAATTTTAAACCGAGACTAAAGCTCTGTTTATTTTTACTGAAAATTTTCAGGTGGATGATTTTCCATGGAAAAGTGCAACATGACTACGCAAACATATCTTTGATGAGGATAACAAACAAGGGTAAACTCAAACCAAACCTTTTTTTTTTACAAGAGGAGCTTATAAACAAAAACCAAACCAAACAAAGACCAAATTAAAAGGAACAATGAAGAAAACGTTGGCGACAAGCTCCCACAACCAGTCAATGAGCAAGAGAAACCCAACAACTCAGGACTTTACGAATACGGCCAGCAGAAAAAAGATAACAGGGCTGATCTAATATCCTGCAGCAAAAAGAAATACGAGATGTCATCTGAAGCAGAAGTTTCATCAAATGCCCGAGACAGTTCCGCAAGAAACTGATGTTAGAAGTGCTCCAATTTGGAACTTTATTTTTGTCTTACCCAGACACTATAATCCTTGTTTGGCCTAATTTCTATTTATCTAAGTGAGAAGCAGCTGCAGGACTTTGGCCACACAGCCACTTGACCAAGCACCGAAAACACAAATGAATGAAGACCTTTCTTTCATATAAAAAATTACTCAACACAGAAACTTTAGCCAAATCTAACAAACGTGAAAAACTGCAAATTTTATACATCTAAATGAATACTTTCATTCAAGCACAAAGCCATCCATCTGTAACTCGCAAACTTTCAGTTAAAGCCATCTTTAAGACTCAAGCCAGTGCAGAAGAAAAGGCCAACTACATCCATTATTTTACTCTTCGTCTTCTATCTTTGTCTCTATCTTGCCCCCTATCACTCTGATGATCATCCCTCTCAAGACCACCACTCTTCTCAAGGTCTCTTCTATTTTTGATCCTTTCACTGTCTGAATCTTGAGATTTAGATCTGTCCTTAGCACGGTAATCCCTGTCAGCATCTTCCGTCTCTCTATTCGATCCTCTGCGTGGTGGGCTCCCACTTTGACTCGTGCTGCGGTGCCGTTTTCGAGATGATTCTCGCAAATCATCTTTTTTGTCTCTTCGCTCCACTGTTCTTTCTGCAACATTTGTTGAAAACACATCAGCATGATTTAGTAAAGCAATGAATTAAGCTTTATTTTTTGCATACTCTATAGCTTTTTTACCCAAGCTAATGAGGGAATGAACAAGGAACATAACATAAAAACATACACCAATTTTGAAAATTTCAGAATCAGCCACAGAGAAATAGAATATCCCACATGCTATAAAAGAAAAATGCACAAACACAATTTTACGAAACATGGTGCTTTTTCTTTCTCTTCTTTTTTTTTTCCTCCATTAAATGGAAACACATGAAGCTATGTTCCGAAAGGAGAGGTGAAAGATGGCTCCTTTTTATGGAGCTAGCATAGTTTTTCATTACCATTGTCAAAAAAAGGGAAACTCTACACGCAGCCCTCCACTTTTGCACATTCTGTATGGTAGCCCGGGAAATCATATGATTCATTTTACGAATTTTACAATACAATCCACATATAACAAATACTATTATCTTAAATTTAATTTTCACTAAAAGAAATATTATATGAAATAAAATAATATGAAAATCCCTTATCTCCTCTATACCATCCAGTCCTCCACCATGTACAATCTCAAAAAACATGACAGCATCTGAACAGCAACCAGCGCCTTCCCCACAACATTAGTCAGGATCACTACATAGAGCCCCCCTCCCCCCCTCTCTCTCTCTCCCACCCTCCTTTTGAATCCCCGTCTCAGCAACCACATATAGCTACCACAACACCAACCCAATGACCTCTGACTTGCTGGCCAGTCGCCAGTTTATACTCTATGACAACTGTTTAGGGTAAAAAACACAAAAGCTTCTGCCCCTGACCTGACACTATTAACCAACTGAACACCCTAATGGCTGTTGCTAATTGACACCCCTCCTTTATAATGAACTGTGTTATCAGAAACATTGTGATATGAGGAAAGAGATATACATCGACTGGTGGCGCAGGCCTGTGGGGATGGAATGGTAGTTAAAGTAGTTAAGAGGGCTCTTCAGTTGGTGGCACTTCAGGTTGAGCAGTGACAGATTGGGGGGGTGGGGGAGCAGAGGAAAAGTATATAGGGAAAGCTTATGCTCTATGACACCCACTGATGTTTCTGGACCCTGATCTGCCACAGTTCACTAGCTGAACACCCAACTGGTTGTTGCTGCTCAACATCTTCACCCTTCCCTTTGTACTGCATTGTTGTGTAATCAGAAAATAGTGATATGTGGAAGGAGATTTATATTGACTAGTGGTATGGAGAAGAGGTGGTGCTAACTGGAGAGGATAAGAGGGATGTTCCGTCAGTGGCACTTGAGTTAAAGCAGTAACAGCGCAAAGAGCAGAGGAAACGTAAATAAGGGAAGAGTGTTTAGTTTTCAAAAGCAAATTACTTAAAAGTAATTTCTTTTTTAAAGTCACAAAAATGGTCAAACAAAAGCATAAGGTTATTCTGTAGTGTTTGCGGAAATAAAATTTAAAAAAATAAAAAGTAGTCCTCAAGCACATACAAACTCGAGAATTATAGTAGGTGTTCCATGATTAAATGCATCATCACCAATGCTCCAAAACTATGTACATAAATCACTTCATCAAACTAGATATAAACTATCTCCATTTGCGAAATTTCTTAGCATTGTAGGGAATTTTCACCTAGAATCCAACTGAATATAATAAGAAAACCTAAGTGTTAGGAGACTGTGCTCCTGGAAATACTGACAAGATTATTAGTTAGACTTGGGCTGAATGATAAATGCAAAACAAAGAAAGAATCACACAAGAAAGTTAGTTAAATTTAAAGCATTTTCAGTACTTAAAGTTAAGATAATGCAACCAAGGCACCAACATAAAATGTTTCAAACAAAGCCGAGTGACTGGCAGGGAGGTGGCAATGTCAGTCATCATCAAATTTTACAAGAATTGGCTTCAAAATAAAAAGCACGCGAAAGAAAAGCTAACCCCTAAGACAATAAGGATCAATAATATAAAATAAGGAAATAATGAATCAATTTCCATTAGAAATCACCAATCTATCAAAATCACGTGATTTACTTGCAAAGAAATAATCACAATTGACAAGTGAAAAGGCAAGATACCCTTTAGTTTCCCCTGAAAAAAATAAAGATTAGGCATTTTCTAAACAAATCACATCCATTCTAACCATCACATCCTTTCCTATTTATATACTTCCTCAGGCCGTTTTTTTTTTTTTTTTTTTTATTTTATTTTATTTACAACACTTTTACTACTCCAAATCATTTGGGACTAAGGCTTTGCTGTTGTGGTATTTACAGCACTTTTACTTCTACACTATTCAAATACTCCACTTTGACGAGTTTTAATGATTTATAGTTAAGGGAAAATGTAGTCATACGGGATCTTGTTCCATTAAACTCAATTTACACATTCATATTATCAAATTTTTATAATTTTTACAAATTGATAATTAAAATTATAAGCAATTGAAATCCAATTATTCCTCTGGTTGGATCGTTGGCTATAATGAATTGGCAAGCGTGAAATAAGAAGTGTTAAAAGTTTTTTTTTTTTTTAAAAAAAAAAAATTAATAAAAAAAAATAGAGGTATTAATATTGTGGGAAAGGAGAAGTATAGGTCAACCTAGCCCAATTTAGCAGACAAGGCCTCTTGGAAGTGGGGGAAAGAGTAATGGAATCCCAACCCTTAAAGTGCCCCTAAATTTCAAGGTTATAATACAAAACCTTAACACCAAACCAAGTACTTATTGGTCATACAAACTAATATTACAGGATAAGTAAATTCATTATAGTACAGGATATAAGAACGCAAAAGGGGGGCTGTACATACAATATACTATATTAAATAGTTAGAATAGAAATAGGACATTCTCATTATATTTGCATTAAAGTTGTGAAAAAAGAAAGTGGATTTATGCAATATATGACGAAGGAAATTCTTTCTTCCTAGGACATACAAAGTATATAGTAACATTTCTTTGGGATCTCCTCTTTGGATAAACGAACATTAGCTTCAACTTCTGGAAAAAGGCTGTATTAAAATTTAAATTTTTGAGGAAAAAACTTACTAATCCTGGGAAGATTTTCACTTGAATCCGACAACCCGTAATCTGATTCTAGACGTTTCCTATATATTGCAATCTTCTTCTCAATTTCCTCTGAACTTTTGATACCTCGTTCCTCGAGAGACTCCCGATATTCCATCAATGAAACTTCTAGACGTCTCAATTTTTGTCTGAACAAGTGTAGCCAAACATCAAAACACGTGTGAGGTTACATTGTAAAACACCATACAAGGGCTAAGGAATCCAACATTAGTAAATAATGATGTATTACAATGAAAACTAAAACACCCTAGTAATATCTTCCTCTATTCAAAATTTCTTGATACAATTCGACTTTTAACACTATTCACAAACTCTACTTTGACTAGCTTTTGTAATTTATAGATAAGAACAAACATAGTCATGTGGGATCTTGTTAGATTCCACTCAATGTGTAATTTCAAAATATACAACTTTTTATAATTTTTACTTATTGATTATTGAGATACTTACAATTGAAGTTATGCATTGGCAAATATGATAAAGGAAACATGTCAACTAATTTAGAACGGAAGAAGGTTTTTTTGTATTAATTTTCTACATTTATTTTTTACCAAACAACAAGAAATGGATTAGAATTATTTGCTCCATAAAGTATAGCATAACTCCAATCACAAGTTTCTCCAATATGGTAGTATAAAAGCATTACTTGCTCTAATCACTCGCTTAAACAGAAAAACTGAAGAGATGATGCAATTCTGATGCTCCGAAGCCACTCAATTCCACTAACACTAACACGAGCAATGTTTGAAAAAGCGCGCCTGCGCTGAGGCGCAAGGCAATAGGGGGTAAGCGCTTTTTTTTGGCCTGGGCGAGGCATTTTCAATAGGCGCACCCGAGGCGCACATGAGGCGCACCCGAGGCGCACATGAGGCGCACCTGAAGCAAATTTCTGCCAATTTTTTTTTACTGTTTATATAGTGCGCCTCACTTCAAAGAGACGCGCCTCAGGCGCTGCATAACACTTATCGCTTCAGCGCGCCTTGAGCTTTTTATATACATTGAACACGAGTGACTTAAATTACAACCACGTTCTAACATGCAATAGTTAATACAATGGGTAAAAGAGAGAGAGAGAGAGATTATTCTCAAGTAAGGACGTAAGCATAATGATGATGAAACAAACCTTTGCTCTTCATTCATAGTTATTTCTGGCTGTGTTGCAGCCCTAGTCTGAGTTGCATACTCACTATCCTCGGCATTAGACAGATCATCTGAAGTGTTCTCACTCCCAGAAGATGAGTAACCCAGCCCCAGACCACTAGAGCTTTGCTTAGGCTCATCATCATCTTCTTCTCTAGCCCACTTTGAGGCAGGCAAAACAGTCTCCGCTTTCTCTTTTTTCAAGAATGATTTCACTTCAGACTGCGGAAGGGAAAATTCTTGTGGCAGAGAGTTAGATTCTCGTGCTTCCACATCATCCCCATAATAGTTCCATGTTGTTGATCGTGCAGCCTCCATCTCAACATTCACATCACTCTGCACATTAGCAAATTTAGCTGAGCTTGGTTGGGCGTGTACATATTTCAAATCATCTTCCAGCTCAGATCCACGTTGCTTCTCAGCTTCTCCGAGATAAAGCAATCGTGCAACCATCATTTCTCGACCTCCAACAAGTGAAAGTCCATTGTGCCTACAGCGCCTCTCCAGCTCAGGAAGAGGGAGGCTTCGCAACTCTAACATGGCAGCTCCCTTGCCCATAGCCAAGGCTACATCCTGATTAGTCTTGCTCCCATCACTTGAACGTTCAGGGCAGCCAACCTTTTCTTCCATTTCTAGTACATCACCACAAATGGAATGGAAAGGTATAACCCCAGAAGCACTGGGTCGAAGAAAAGTAGCTCGCAACCCATTAACAAACGCATCGGAAAAAAGAAACCAGTCTGACCATACTTGAAGCACTTTCAACACTCTCTCCTACAATGCCAAAGTTTGAATCAGACAACTAGTGCAATAGAAATTTAATAAGAAAGAAATTGACAATTACCAAATCAAGATCTAACCTTAAGAGCTTCAGCAGTGATTCTTCCACTTATGCTACGATACAAGTCATTAAAGCTTTCCATTATGTCAGGCAACGTCACCTCAAATTTCGTACGGTACGCAGATGCGTTCTTCACTGGAGCACTGCTATTATGAAGAATGTCAGACACAAGCATCAATCTTGCAACTTTTGTGGGTATTGGTGTTTCCATCAGAGTAAGAGACTCCGTTAAAACTTCAACTATCTGCTATGCAATACAAGAAGCAACATAAGTTAAACCTGAACCATGAAGACATTGAAGTCCATCAATTTATATTGGACAGCATACAACTCCGCTAACAGCATCACCTTCATTAGTCAACCTCAGCATAAAAAAGTCAAGAGTTCGCAAAATGAGGCATGAAAAATAATCACTAAAACAGGCTAGGCCAGCAACAGAGACAAAAGCATTGGTTATCAAATCAAATAGATAATGTATACAATATAAGCCCAACCTTGTATTAAAGAAATGGGAAATTGGAAGGGCAGAAAACTAGCTTTGAATATTCAAGGATTAAGTATTTATATTGATTTGAAAAGGACTGAAGATATTGCCTATCTTCTTAAGAATGGCACAAAAGTACAATAAAAAAGATCTGCAATTGCAGTCAACATTGCACATTCAACAAACTTTCCTTGAGCTGAGAATTAGTAACTACAACTAACATTCACATTCAACAAAATTAAATACCATTTATACAAATGAAACTAGTGTTATATATCCAAGGATTGGCTAGAACTGGATCAATTTTTTTCCTTTTTTCCTTGCATAGTCTTTTTTCAGCACCAATCAGATGGTTGGTCATAAATTAGGCAAATTTGCACTAACTCTAAAGTTCCAGGTAATCCTTTTTGGAATAAAGGAAAAACCTAGGCACAAGCAAAACTTTTTCATTCTAATTCTAAAGAGAGTTTGGACTTTATAAATTCAGAATTCTAAACTATGTAGCATTGTTACGGATATAGGGTCAGAAACGGTAACAGGTATAGGTACAGGAACAGGGATGGAAAACGAAAAATTCAAAATTCAAATATTCGGGTACTGTATAGATACGGCCAAAATTAAATAAGAAAATATAGAAAATTTTAGGCAAATACACAAGGGTGTTATTGGCAAACTTACCTAAATCTTTATTATAAAAGTGAAGGGAGATGGAGTAGATTATTGGGGTGTGGCCAACCACACCGTGCGGCAAGCTGACACACGCCAAAACATTGACCTGGTAACCCCTAACCGACCGAGTAACCCATGATCGACCGAGTAAACCCTAACAGAATAAACCCTCATCAAGTAACCCCGGTCACACCATGTGGCCAGCACATATGAATTAAAAACTGGAAAAAAAAAATCAATAATTGACAGCCTTGACAAAATCAGAAAGAGTCAAAGATTTTAAGTAGAAAAACATTTTTCACAATTAAAAAAAAAGTACAATATTATCAAACCTTGAAAAAAAAAATCTATGATTAAAAAATTGATTATATATTCCATAGTTTCTTTTAGTCGTTTATATTTTTCACAAAAAAAAAAAAAAAAAAAAAAAAAAAAAAAAAAAAACACAACGTATACAACTTTCCTCGTTATTATATTATATACTCCCTTAGTTCTTTTATGTTCTACTTAGATACAATAGATATGCAAATTAAGAGAATATTGAAAAAGGTAGGTGGGTATAAGAAAACTAAAAAAGTAGGATAACTTTAAAGAGAATGAAAAAAAGGTAGGTTTATAAGAAAAAGGTGAATAAAGTAGGAGAGTGGAAAAGATTGTAATTATTAGGAGGTCGAAGGGGGTTAGATAGTAAAAGGGGTAAGCAAAAAAAAATTTAAAACAAAGTCAGTAGAACAAAAAAGAACAGACTTAGACGAAAAGTGAGTTTAAAAAAATCTAGGGGAGTAAATGTTAACAATTTTAAGACCATATAACTTTTTATAGGATTATAAATATTTATATAGAATTTCAAGCACAAATCACGTGCATAAACATTAATACTAATACTGTATAATACATGTGTGTTAGTGTACATAAGCATGCACCCTTTTCCAGTAAATACTGCACTCTTTTACTATAATTTACTAGTTAATTACCCCTCACATACACTTTTATCTACAATTCAATGCAACTTATCTATATCATGGAACAATCAAAATTGGAATTTTTGAGATGGTGGTAGTAGTATATTTCAGCACAAGCCATGCTATTCATCCACTCTTTAAACTTGGTTAGAACTTTACTTTACAGGGCCACAATCTTAAAAGCCACATCCATAATATTTTTTTAACCTTCGCCTACATAATCAAACCGACACAAAATGCATACCTCACCAGCAGCAAATACTGCACTCTTTTCCAGTAAATACTGCACTCTTTTACTATAATTTACTAGTATTCACCCCTCACATACACCTTTATCTACAATTCAATGCAACTTATCTATATCATGGAACAATCAAAATTGGAATTTTTGAGATGGTGGTAGTAGTATATTTCGGCACAAGCCATGCTATTCATTCACTCTTTAAACTTGGTTAGAACTTTACTTTACAGGGCCACAATCCTAAAAGCCACATCCATAATATTTTTTTAACCTTCGCCCACATAATCAAACTGACACAAAATGCATACCTCACCAGCTGCATCAGCATTATCCAAGGAAAATCCCATAGCATCTTTGATTTGACTTCTCTCTAGGGTCAAAGCACGCAGCATATCCTCAAACTCATCCCTTTGTGAGTCTGTAAGTGTCCTTTCAGGATCAATACGCTGCACATAAAAGGTAAAAGTTCCCTAAATTAGAAGAGAGGCCAAATATATGTTAGTAAGAATGCATACATCTATCATCAAAAAAGAAAGCCTTCTTAAAGGCATAGTGGTGATGCTAATAGATTTTTACGTAGAGCAAAATCCTAAAAATGCAAAAGTATGGGTAATTGTGTAAGACCCAAAAGCAGAAGCAAGAGCATTTTTAAAAGTACCCTGCTTCTTCCTGCTGCATATGTTGCACTAGAATCCTTCTCGGGATCTGGGCTTTTTGCTGTGGGAAGAGGAGGTGGCACCCACCTGAAACCAAACACAATGTAAACATACATATACCAATATGCAAATTAGGAAATTTCCAGAAGTTCTAGGGAAATATATAACTGCTAATGCAACAAAAATGAAAAAAGGGGACTACTTTACCTCCCACTACCAGTTATCATGATGAAAGGCTCTGTTCTCCATCTCTGGAGAGTGTCACCCTGAAACAAGTAAAAGACCATCAGAGAATAGGTTTACCTATTATAAAAATTCATTTCCCCAATACTTTGAAAACTACAAAGCGCACTAAAACGAAGCAGGTTTAAAGAGAGGAGAATTGAAAATTGAACATAGTATTATAAGTGAAGAATAAAACAGAACTTTGGTAGTGTTCAGTTATAATGCCACTAGTAAAATTTTGACTTTAAAATATGAAAGGATGTTAATAAAATTAAACAATGAACTTAAACCTAGTCCTTTGATATTATGAATTCAAGATAGAAAAATCAAATTTAATGTTTACGCTGTTGAAAAACTGATATTAGTGAATTTATAGAAATATACAAAGCACTCATGATAAATATGATAGACTTCAATTGTCAAACAAGCAAGACTATGTACCTTTTCAAATCAGTTTTACATAAAAGACAGAACAAGAATCAAAGCCGTCATGCAAGTTTAAGAACTTACAATGCACTCTCCCTAAAATGTCTGCTTATATTCAAATTATTTCCTTCACTGTTATACAGTCCATCTTCAAATGTTCATTGTGATTCAGATTTTTTTTTTTTTTTTTTTTTTTTTTGTGGATACCTTGTAATTCAGACTATATTCAGATAATTTTTGTATCAAGCTTAGTTTGACGGTTGCTTGTTTTTCAAGAATTACAATTCCATCTCGTACCATTCAGGAAAAAATCAACAAAAGTAAAAGATAGTTAACAGAGTACAAAGAGTCAATTTACAGTTTTTTATTTTTTTTCTGTGGTGATGGGGGGGCCTGGGGGGATTTTTTTCCCCAACATAATTCGCTGTTGGTTAATCATTGGGGTACGATATACTAAAGTTATTGTGATTATATGTCCTCTTTTTTTTTAATTGTTCAAAGCATGAAGCCAGTTTATGTTGCTTGCAGAAGGATTAACCAAACCAATTCATGCAAATACATGAGAAAACACACCTGAGCAAATGAATAAAGTCTCCAAACATAGTACATATGTTCCTTTGAGCCAAGGTCAAACAAGAAACTAAAAAGAGGATTCCCTCGTCCACGCTCCATTATTGCTTGCTCAAAAGCACACCCTCCATCTAAAACATATAAAGCCATGGTATCAATGACATGGCGAAGATGCCTATCCTCAGGAGGCACAACTGTTATATCTGGAACATTAGGAGTAAGGACCTAAAGATGGAAGCAGCAAAGGGTCAGAAAATAATAGAACAATTAAAGCATTTTTAAGTCCCCAATAAGTTAAGTTCTTCAAAGGAAGTAGCGAAAAGTAGATTGCATATCATAATCACAATAATTAATTTACCAATTGTGTGGAATAAACCCACCTTTGAAGACTGAAAAAATATCAAAACCCTAAGTTGTATATAAACAAGATTTTCTTCTTAAAAGTTTTTTACAAGAAATAAAATGTAATAATTAAAAAATAAAGGAAAAGAAAAGAAACAGCCCTAAGAACACATAAGGCTCCAGTTTCTCAGAAGAAATACTACAACAAAATTATCGCCTTCAAAGCAAATTCATCTAAAAGAAACCATCTCTCTTTTGCTTACACCCACACACCTTTTCGTACCCTCTCTGTCACTTTATCCACATTTTTCCTACACCCAACTTAAGGCTCCAGTTTCTCAAAAGAAATACTACAACAAAATTATCGCCTCAAAGCAAATTCATCTAAATGAAATCATCTGTCTTTTTCTTACACCCACACACCTTTTCATACCCTCTCTCTCACATTTAACAATTAGTTAAGCAAGAACTCGAGAATAGAACATACCAGCTCAGAGTTTTGATTTGAAACAGGAGCCACAGGGGTGCCTGAACCAGACAAGATAACGGTGCCACCCTATAATTCAAATAAAAAGAAACCACTGAGAAAAACAATTCTAACAGCCTAAGATGAAAGGGAGGGGGGGGGTGAACATTTTGCTTGAGACATTAGCAAAAAAGCTAATCAACCTCTTTACTTCTGATTGCCATATGGCCAGGTGGAGGTGCAGGTAATGCCTGTGATGGGAGAGCAACTGATTTACCCCATCCAATCTTCAATTCATATTCATAAACAACCACCCCTGAGGCACAAATTTAGCATAAGACAGACATTTCAGCTTCTATTTACATTTACAAAAGCTTCAAATAATGCTTAAGAAAGACAAAGAGTGAAACAAAATATCACAATCACAAGGGTAACTGAATGAATACATGTATATGGCACAAGGAACACTTAAATCTCATGGATAGCTTCCATTTTCTACACACCAAGTGTGTACAGTTATATCAATTCTAAGAACTAATGTTACACGATCAAGTACATGTTTAGTCAAACCAAATCCTTTATTTATTGTTTCCCACTTTACCCAGATTAAAAGACAGCCAAAAAGGGCCACCTGTTTAAGCGCTGAATCCATTTCCTTCATGATAGTACTATTAGTAAAGCACACACAATGAGAAAAGAAGTGGCAATTGGATTCAATTAAGCTCATTATCCCCACCATCAACCCTGTATAAACTGTCAACAGCAAAGCTCTAGCCAAAACTTAATTATATGGTAGAAAGATCACTAACTAAGAATGCCTTCTCATCAAGGGCTTGCTTCATGTCAATTAAAAACCCTTATATCAATTATTGTAAGGGAAGACATCTCACACAGTTTTAAGAGGAAAGGTTTCAGTGATAGGGAAGGGTGTAGGTACTGCAAACCATAAATTTCAGGATTAGGCATGGTATAAGTTAAGGAAGGCATAATAAACCCCAAAACAAAACATTTTATACCCACCAATCTCAAAGGGAGGGGAACATGGTGCAAAAACAAGGCCGTATCACTTAGGTTGGGCCATATCGTACAGGATATTCAATTTACAGAATTGAAATAATCCGTATCAACAAAGGGGTGTTCCATAAACCTGCCATCTTGTCCAAATCATATGTTCCGACCCCGATTAGTAATTTGGTGGGAGGCTTAACATCTTGGATTGAAACTCGAAGAAAAACTCCAATGAAAAAAGGTTATCACCAAATGTTTCCAATCTGGGGCTTGTGCTGAAATCTGTAGGTCTATTAGTGGAGCACTGATAGTTAATATGGGGCCATGTGGTGGTGGTGTTTTCTAGGAATTATTAGTATTTGTATGCTATTAGAGTAGTTAGGGTAAGAGGATTAGAGTGGGATACTTTAGGAATCTTTCACCATAACATTAAATAGGAAGTAACTTTTGCATGCAGCTTAGCTTTTAGAAAAACCACTTTTCATATTAACCCTTCGAGAGCCATCTCTTTTTTAGTTTTCCTTCCCTCCAGAAAATGTTTCTCCTTTCAATTCTCAAAGCTAATAAACATGAAGCAACCAATGCTGTAAATATCACTACTCACATTTGATTATGCCCAGATTGACGATTTATTCAATTTAATATGATGAATAAATAAATTTCAAAATACAAATACTTGGTATTAAGATTCAAACACAACCAGATTTAACAATATCAGATTCGTATTTAGATTTTCAGTTAAGAGTTGCTCAGACTAAAATGAATTTAATAGCTTAAGATAGAAGAATAATGCAGCTGAAGTATTTGTATTTAGAAAGGTATGATGGATTTAAGACTTTAAGTCGTGTAACAATGACAAGTGAGAGACAAGCTTGTGCTTAACCAACTGGTTTAAAATTGGATGATAAGGCAAAATACAGTAACCGGTCATTATCAACCTCATCCATAGATTTCGATACAAAGGCTCGCTGTTTCCCTTCTCACCTCAGTCAAGCCTTTGCAGAAGACATTCCATGGTCAGATTTGCATTATTTGGCACTATCCTCCTCACCACTCAGGAAGAGGAGTCGGACCACTAAGGGAAGGCACATCTAAAACTGACTACACAAGAGTGAGACAGTCAAGCTTCAAAGTCATAATACACACTTCCATACCCTGGAATTACCTAAAGAGGGCAGGGGGGGGGGGTTCTGAAAGGTAATAAACAACCAAGGAGTTACTTAAACTCATATTGCATGAGAGAGAATAATGACGCAACAAACCTTGCATTTCATCCTTAGCAGCCTGTGCTTCACTCCTATTCATAAAAGCAACAAATCCACAATTCCTTTGGCGCCTTCGTTCCTCTTCTGTCCTAGGCCACATAATTTTTACGCTAGCAATAGGTCCAAATCTCCCAAAGGTTCGCAAAAGGAAACTCTCGTCAACCTAAATCATGTAAAGCATTGACAGTCTCATCAATATCTCATACAATGATATTTGGAGAACAGCTATGTTCAAAATCTAGAAACTTTAAGCTTGTTCATATAATTTTTTCTGTAATGAAAAGGCATGGAAAAATTGTTCAGAGGACAAGGTTTTAACAGCAATTTCAGACTAACCTTTGGCGATAAATTTCCTACATAGAGATTTGTCGTTTGTGGATCACCATCATCAAAAGAACCCCTCCCAGCATCAAATTCATCAGGCAGCTCATCGAATCGAGTAATGGGCTTACAAAGGGTAAACAATAAAAGTCAAAGTTAAAAGCATAAGAATGCAACAGAAGAAACCAAAAGTGCTAGACAGAATAAGTATAGACCAGATATTTTTTCATAGGAATCCAAACAAACATGTCTCAACATTGACCAATTCCAATCACACCCCCCCCCCTCTTTTTTCTTCAAACCAAGTCAGGACTGATTATTGATGAATCAGGAAGAGCTCATCAGCAACAAATAGTTTATTATTATCTTTCGTGATGCAATTAATCTATGTCACTTTTTTAGCTCCCTTCATATCAATGGAAGGTGAAGACCACAAAAAAGCAATTAATCATGCACAGTATTACAAGCTGTCCTACCATCTCCTACTTTTCATTTCCCTCCTCTCTATATCTGAGTCTGTACAAAAGTAAATAAACCAGCCGATCCCATTCCAACCTCAATATGCGGAATCATCTTGCACCATATAATAGAGATATTATAATCCTTTCTTTATCAGCACCACATTTTTAATGTTAATAAATAATAGAGATATTAAAATCCTTTCTTAATCAGCAGCGCATACTTAAATTATTTATTTTTAACGGAGCAATAAAAGCTAATGTCTCAAGATAGCAAAAGCATTGGGGCAAACGCAAAACCATTCCAATATTTAAGTCGCACTTGGTGCAAGAGGAAATAGTAAATAAAGCAAGTTTGTCTCTCGCTTTCTCTTTACACATCCTGCTCTGGTGTGAATAAATTTAATAAGGCTGAAAGGACCAACAAACTGGGTATTCTATATCAAAATTAGATCCACTTACTGTAGGAAGTTCCCCTTCACGCCATTTATCACGATCTTGATTTCTCTTCTCTCTCATCTCTTGCTCATGCTTTAGCTCCTCCATAAAGTTGTCAATATTTCTCATTCTTCCTTTCTCTTTTTCTTTTGACTTCTCTCTGGGTTCCTGTATGTTTCAATGAAGCCTAAGAATTAGAACTCCAATCAACTGGAAACCAGAATAAAAAATAAAAAATAAAAAATTACATGATATGTTCCTACCTCCCTCTCATATTCTCTGCCTTTAGCTGCCATTGGTGGTGGTAAGAATGATGGAACATATCTGCCAATTGCGAACATCGATTTCACTTGGCAAAGCACCAACAGTGTTGAAAAGCAACACTTTCAAGAAGACAAGAGAGAATAGGTAGACTCGGAAAACAAAATAGTCTATTAACTAAGAAAACATGAAATATAAAGTTGTGCACTTTTGCAATAAACATCACACTAAGAAGCTACTTCTCGCCAAAGACTATAGGATGCTTTTTCTTCGTATAAGGAGACTTTGTTGAAAGCCAAATGACAACTCAACTCATTGACACTTTAGTAACTCAACTGTATGATGTATTTCAATCTAGTCATAAAATAAAATAATAATTGATTTTCATAAGTGCTTTTGTTTAGGAATAAGTATTGGTTCATAACATCAGTGACAACATTTCGCAGTACTTCCTATAAACACATTCTTGTTTACAAAACCATATTATAAAAGGACAGAGTGGTAAATACAACCAGAGGAAATCAGAATAATAAAATAAAGAGGTAAAAAACAAAAAATACAAAACCCCTGTTCAGAAATATCTTCATCAAATCACCTTTGTCACAATAACCTATCAATAAAAACACTTCTCTTTCCATTACAATATATTAAGGGTATATTAGCACTATACTATGCATTAAATTTCCTTCCAACGTATAGCATATAAGGTGTGAAAATTACTTTACTACTGCATGCTTCATTTTGGCTTTACCAACTTCAATAACCTACAAAATCATAATATAAAACATTTCTAGCCCATACATTTCCCTATCCTACATTAAATTTTACAAAAATGAATGGCTCTAGCAACAAAACAATGGAGATTATGTAACTAAGAATAAAAGAGAATTAAAAACAGAGACGAAATACTAAAGGAAAATACTTGGCACCTATACATAGAGTTTCCTCAAAAGCACTGAATTTTGAACTATTACATTGTCTTACCTTGAGGTAAACATTAACTTTTTCCATCCATTAAGTTGGTTATACTTTAGAAGCCAAAAAAGAGAGTTTGAACTATTGCATTGTCTTTCTAAGTAATTTTGAACTATTAATGGCCCAATTGGTAGGATGTAATATATGGTGGTAATGGTTATGATTTTCTATGTAATTTTGCAAGGAAAGTTCCATGACAATGGTAATGCTTCGCGACCTCAAGGTAAACAAAATTCATTCTCACTCATTACCACCGCTAGAAATGGTAATAAGACTGACTGATTGCGAATTGGGTGAAAGTAGGACACTCCAAATTCAGGGGATAAGAGAAATACATAGAGAATAACAAGTACTTGAGTGATACATGGGAATAGAGTTGCAATATTATTAACATTGACCCTAGACTTTTATGGAAAATATACATACAAGTTCATCACTCTTACCACCATTTATTACTACTTACCAATTTGGCTATATATGTTGTAATTACCCACTTTACAAGAACTATATAAGGAATTTTTTTAGTTTAGTAGACATTATACCCTCCTACAATTCACCAAACAAAATCACGCAGTTGCATCAAAAACTTTTCTTATTGCATAATTTCCACTTGTATCAGAAACATTAAGTTAGATTAATGCTTATGACGAAAAACATTTGCTACATAATTAGACAGCTAACAATAAATAATTTTGCTTACTTAATGTGACTGGTGGAATTAAAACAGAAAAAGAAAAAGAAAAAAAGGTGGCACACCATCATCAATTACTCCATCTCATCCATTAGGAGCCAAACAATAGACATGGATGACCACAAAAGCTAACAAGATTACAGCTCTAGAGTCTCAATTTTTAATTTAGTATAGAAAACAACGGTTATTCTAATTTGGATAAACAGCTACAATCCTACAATAGAAGCATGTTACCCTCTTAAGACTTTCGCTGCTATGTTATTAGTTTTATTATGCTTCATTCTTTCACATGAAAACTCTACCGGGTCTTATCTAATTTTTCTAGGCGTATTGGATATTATCTAAACTTGTAGGCTGTAATCTGAACTTATCTAGAATTAACTCAGTTGCCCTTACTAACCTAATATGAACTTAGTAACCCTTAATTCAGCATATCATAATGTATTGGCCACTAGCCGTTGTCCAAACTTCTCATCAAACATATTTCTACAAGGTGAAAGAACAAGGCCATAGCATGCTGGTTTCAAGTAAAAAGTCCATGTCAAACAAATAGAGCTACCATATATTTGCCGAAAAAATAGTGCATGAGATAAGACATATACCATACAGCTATACAAAAGATGCCTAAAAATACAATACAGTGATGCAATGAAAGAGCTGGGAAACTGTTACCTAACTATTCTAACATCTAATTCTATTTAAGAGATGTCGCCATAGTACAACATTATAGTTTTTAACTCACATTGTCTAATCAATGTATAATCTAAATGCATTCATTTACCTACTCCCCTTCTTTGAACCTGATACACCATCTTTGGAATTTCCACCTGCCATTTGTGAATAATAAAAGGCCCATATTTTTATTAATGTACCCAAAGTATAGTGTAAAGCATCTCCATAACACAAATGAAACAAGAGTATGCAACCGCTAATGCGCAAAATCATACCAAATATATTGTAAATATATTTCTTAGACTCATAATGCTAACCTTCAGAATCAGCTTTTACTTTCTCATTGGGATTGATTAAACCTCCTCGTACAAAAGCCTTCGACCCTGGAGCATCCTCTCCTTGAAATGACTCCAGAAATTCCTCATACAGACGAGCTGTTTCATCTTCTGCCCTCTACAAATATAACACCAATCAACATAAATATTTATCTTCCCACGCAGACCAATCAACATTCAAGCCAGATAAACAGTTGTACCTTCTTTTTTGCTTCTTTTTCTTCTCTATGCTTTTGGAAAGGAGTTTTCTTTCGAGTAATTGAAAAAGAGCTCATGTCGCTGATTCAGGAGTATTCAATACGAAAGTAAGTAAAAGAAAGAGACATAACAAGCTCATTTATACAACTAAGCCCATTCCCGACTACCCGAGGCAAGTACGGAGGCCCAACTGCCCAGTGCCCACGGAATAAAGTCCCAATTTTCATCCTAGACTCCTATGATTAAAGGTTTATAAACAAAAGTGGCTGCATAGTTGAAGTGGTTCAATATCAAATTCAAGTTTGGGAGAAGAGGTTCAATTTCATAGTTCAATCCTAAAATTAAAGGGTTCTGCAACACATTCGCAACCAAATTTAATTCAATCATCAAATCATACTCGAAAATCACATAATCTTTTAGAGAAAAGGCATATTTGATTCAATTATGAAATTAGGCTCGTATTTTTATTCTCTAGCAACATGTTATAATCTTTCATAACCTTACTAATTAGAACAAAAAGTTCAACAATTCGAACCCTAAATTTACTATACTGACAATTAAATTGAATTAGATCAACGACTAACCCTAGATTGTGAAATTGATATGATAATTACAAAAGGAAAGAACAACTTACCTCAGAAGCTGCTTCAATGGAGGATAGAAATGTTAGAAGGCGGCTCAATGGAGAACGTGGAGTGCGCTTCAATGGAGAACGTTCAGTGCTCTAGAATGGGAAATTGAGAGAGAGAGAGGAGGAGGAAAACAGGTAGGGCTACGTTCAATTTTTCTTTTTTTTTTTTTTTTTGTTTGGACAATATTTATCCATTATGGACATGTAGCAAATTTACCCATTCTTTTTTAATAATTCGACCTTTCGATTATTATTTAATAATCCGATCTTTGGAGGTCTTTAATTTTTATTGGTCCCAACCGGTCATGTAACCTATTAAAACAGGTTACATGACACGTGGCGGCATGCGATTGGTCAAAATAAAAATTAAAAAAAAATCAAAAAAATAAAAAAACACAAAAAAAAACCTAGCCACCCTACCCCCACCCACTGCCAGTCCTCCCTCCCCGATGGCCGGCGAACCCTCCCTCCCTGGCGGCCGGCGAACCCAACCTCTCCCTTATCCCCCACCCACGACACCACCCCTCCCACCTTGCCGGAAACAATCCCCTCCCCATCCCCACCCGAAACGCCACCCAAAACCCAAACCCCATCAAAACCGTTCAACCATCAAAACCATCTTCGATCTTCCCATTCAACCATCAAAATCGTTCATCACCATCAATCGACATCATCAACAACTAGCATCACAAAATCGGTGGTGGGGGGAGGGGCGACGGGTTTTCTCGAGGTGGGAGTTCGATAAAGGAGGGAATTGATGAAGGAGTGCGGTGGGAAAGTGGGTCGCGTCACCGGCGTGGGGGAGGGGGGAAATCGGCGAGCAGGGGGAGGGGGCAAACCGGCACAAGCGGTTTTCGTGGTGGTGGTTGACGATGGGAGTAGGCTGGGGTGGTTTTCGTGGTTGACTTGGATGGGGGCAACGATTTATGTGGCTTAATTGGTGGTGGGGGTTGCTGCTAGGGGAGGGGAAAAGGGAGTAGGTGGTTGATTGGTGGTGGGGGTGGTGGTTTGGGTAATGGTGGTGGGCTGCCAGGGGAGTGGCTGCTAGGGGATGGTGGTGGCTGAATTATTTGTGTTTTTTTTTTGACCAATTATGTAATGACACGTGTATTTTAAAATAAAAAAAAAATTTACCTCTTCAACCGGTTTCTGGTCAAATGGGACCAATAAAAATTAAAGAACCCCAAAGGTCGGATTATTAAATAATAATCGAAAGGTCGGATTATTAAAAAAGAATGGGCTAAAGGTCGAATTATTGGCATGAATTTTTCCTTAATATTATACTCTGTACTATAATAATTAAATAAAAAAAGCCCGTGTGATAAGTACATACGGAGCAATGTCACTAGGACAACAATTAGACCATAGTTGTTCAACACTATACTAAATAACACGAGCTAGATAGTGAGCAACAAAATTCTCTTCCCACTTTACATGAGACCAAGAAATAAAATCAAAAAAAGTGCAAGTATCTAAGACATCGTCAAGCAAGGAGTCCAAGTCCAAGAGATAGGTGGAAGCCTTCGAAAGCCTGGATATAATTGTGCTATTGTCTAACTCAAGGATGTTCTTTTTAAGGCCAAATTGCTTCGCCAACCGGACTACAAATATTGTTGTTTTGCACTCTGCTAGTTCAGGGGTCCAGTGAGCCTTATACCTTCAGACACCGGCAAAAAGGACCTCTCCTAGATGGTTGCGGGCAACAACACCAAGCCCCACCCAACCTTCAATGTTCAAAGTTGCATCATAGTTGATTTTGATGCAATCTTGCGGGGGTGGCTTCCAGATCTTAGGGCTTTTGGGAGGCTTAGGAGCTTTGCAACCATAAATCTTGGCATTGTATTTGTTATATAGTCTTCTAGGACAGACGCATAAGGACAGTATTATGTGTAGTCTCCTTGTTGTTGAAAAATCTTATTGTTGCACCTTTCTTAGATAAATAGAGAGCAACACCTCTTTATTAAGTCTTGACATCCACACAGCCCCAAGCTTCAAACAAATCTTTGAAATCGGTAAAATCATTAATCTTCACAAGCTTTTCACTATTAGCTTCAATCCATAGGTGTAATACCCCGTATTTTTAATGTATTTTATAAATTATTTATTTATTTAATTATTTGTAAAATATATTTTTGGGTCAAATTATTTTATTAATGAGACTTAAATAAAAAGAGTTTTATTTTTGGGTCAATAATTATGTTATCCGAATGTAGCCCATCTTCATAATACCATCCTATTTTTATATTTGGGCTAAATATTTCATCATTTAAGTATTTAATTTTAATAAAGCCCAAACCTACCTTAAACAACCCTACACTATAAACACTCATTCAATCCTCAAAATTTTGCCACCCAAAAGGTTAAATGGTGTAAGCTATTTTCCCCTTTTCTTTTTCCTTTCCTTTTCTCCTTGTGTTTGCTTGCTGCCGTGAAGGCTGCCACCGGGACCCACCTGTTGCCGTTGGCTGACCACCGACTACCGACCACCATCCGTGACTCTCCTTCTCTCTCCTCTTTTAATTATTAATTATCTTCATATTTATATTAATGGGGTTTTGATTTTTATTATTCAAAACATGTTTAATTAGTTTCAAAAATCATGTTTTAATGGTTTACAAGTATATTAAGGTTATTAAATTAGGTTCAATTTCAGATTTAATAAATTATTAAGTTAGGGTTTTAAAATTATTAAAGATATGATTTTTAGGGTTCTTACACAAATTGATTTGAGGCTTTTGTATGCCTAATGATTCTATTGATTAACTAGGCATAAAAGTATGTTTTAATAAAGTTTTAAGGGGGTTTTAAATTAAGTAATATTGCTTTAATTTTATTTAAATTAGTAGAATTGTGATTTTAATGAAAAGGTTTAATTACCCATTAAAAGAGAGGTTAATTAGGGATTTTAAAATAATATTCAAGATTATTATAAGTTGTTTAAAGTGAGTTTAAGTTGTTGGAAATTGTGTATACAAGAGTAATTGATGTAGTTTTATTGTCCCTTTATGTAGGAGACTTTGTTCGGGAAGTGTTCTAGGGTGTATGATTATTTTAGTAGCATTTTCAAGGTACGTACGCGTACTCGGAATTTTATATAGCGTGTAGAAGCATGCTATGATGTATTTTGATTAGTTCCAAGTTAGTATTGTTTCGGGGTTTTTTGGATGTCCTGCGGGAGAGTTACAACACCAAGACTGACCTCTGGACACCTGTACCTGCAAAACAACGGAGACTCCTGTGGGTGGGAGTTCCACCTCCGACGATCAAGTTAGAACGTGTTCGGAAGTAAAGATGCGGAAAGTAAATGGGATCAAGCTCCTCTTCGAAGGGGAGTGATCATCCGACTGTCTCAGACAGTCTCGGAATCCGAGCCTTAGCTCTCAAGTAGCGCAACTAAAGCTGGAGTTAATGCTCAGCAAGTAATGTACCCGTGTGTTAATGATTTATGAATGATGTTCCTTAGAGGGAACATCTCCCTTTTATAGGGTCTGGAAATATGTGCCCAGTACAGGATTTCAGAAACCTAGGACTGACTGGGCTTACTTAGGTATTTGGGCCCTTAAAGACCACTTTCCCAGTTGGCAATCCGCCTGCCACGTGTCGTGGCCTAATTGGTCCACCTTGGACCTATCACAAGGTGACACGTGGCAGAGTTTAATTGGTCCACGTGACGGGAGAAATCCCCTAATCATTTTCCCCTCACAGGGGTGACGTGGCATGCCACGTGGCGCCTATGACAGGTGTCACGCTATGATTCGCTAACGGTTTTTTATCGCTTTTTTTTTTTACCCTTGAAATTCTCCCCCTATAAATAGGGGGTGTCCAAATCATTTGGACATTCTAGAACTTTTTTAGAAGAAATTTTTGACTTAAAAGCTCTGACATTTTGGAACGACTGCCGCTTGCTTTTGGACCGCCTGCTCAAACAGCCGCCCGTTTCTCAAGAACTTCAGTCTTCTTTTCTTAAAGGTAACCGCCTGCTTTATTTTGCATTTTCTCTTTGTTTCTCTTTCTTTTTTGAAAATGGTTTCCCAAAAGCACACGGCATGGCCTAGGTTAGTGATCGGTCGGTCACTAGGGACGCTGAATCTAAAACTAGGAGTGCCGACCGCCCCTTGCTGAATCACCCTTTGTGAACTGCCCCAAGTCCGACTGTCTATGTGTCTGTGTAGGACACCATGGCTAGAACAAAGAAAACCGCAAGGGTGACAAATTCAGACGGCTCTTCCTTCTATGCACCTGTCAGTGAATTGTTTGACGTGTCGCCTGGTGCCCCAAGCACTCCCAGTGATTCCATTTTAGATAAATCAGGGGAGGAGGTTCAAAATGATATGTCGGGCTTTGTTGATCTAGCCCACCAGGCGGACTCCTCATCCGATAGCTCAAATAGCGACTCTGAGCCAAGCACTTCAAGCAAATTTTCGGATGAGTCTGAAGAGAGGCACTCTCAGCTAGAGACTGCGCGAGAGTCCCTCTCAGTAGATTTGGGAGTAAACTGGGCGGAGCCATCTGCCACCAACCGAGAGCAATATGTCGCCTATCATCATGTTCCCGCAGGCAGGCGGAAAATGATGGCGGAAAAAATTGGGAGCTTCAGAGCTGACCATGTCATGGGGCATGGTTATGTCCTATGCACGCCGGATGCCGAGGACACTATAGTTTGGCCCGAGCAGTCCAACTACGGGGACGCATGTTTTGGCTGCTATGAGGCGGCTATTAAGGCTAGCCTGAGATTTCCTCTACATCCGGCCGTAGAGAATATTTTTTACATCGTCTCCAGCCCTGACACAGTCAGGAACAAAAAATTCAACAGGTGGAACAGGAACCACCTTTCTTAATAGGCGGTTCTGAGATGCCGTCTGTTCCCCGTAAAGCAAAGGAAGAGATCCTTGAAAGAGGGCTCTTCAAAGTAGATATCCAGGGGAACCCCGAGACTGGGGCGAGGGAGTTCATTCCTCAAAATTATATTCCCAAGTATAACTGGTTATACGATGGGACATATCTGGCCGCCTGTGGCCTTAGTGAAGAGATGCGGAGAGGTAGATGACCGCCTGTTCAAGTGTCTCGTAAAACTTAATTAATTTTTTTGCCAAACCAACTCCTTGATTAATCTTTTGCAGACAAAGCCATGGAAAAGCTCTCGGCCTCAAAGAAAGCTGCTGCCCAGTACCGCTCGGCCATCTTGGGCAAGTGGTCAACTAAAGAGTCGCCTGCTGTGCAGGCGCCCAAGGTGAGCTTTTAACTGCAAATCTCATTTAGCTTTTTTGCCGTCTGCTTCTTACTTATTGTGGTTATTTTGCAGGGCAACTTAGAAAAGCCTTTTTCCTCCTCTCAGCCGGATCCCAAAGTTAGGAAATAGACGGCTGGTGACGTAGCGACCCCTGGGAGAGCCAGGAAACATGTGGCCTCAAGGCTAGGAAGCAACCCACCTCCAAAATCTCCAGCCATCCCTGCTGGCAGTCGGCTTGGGAAGGAGAAGGAGAAGCAGGCGGCTGCTGAAGGTATCAAAGAATTGTTGCCTTTCCCTTACCCTTTGAGGGTCAAATTCAATCAGCAGTCGTCTGGCACCTCTGA